CCCCCCCCCCCCCCCCCCCCCCCGCCCTTTGTGACTTGCTGCTGACCCAGATTCCGCTGCCAAAAAGATGGGATTCTGGCAGCACAATCTCTGCCCTTTGGCCTTTTTTGGAGTAAAGATGAAACTGAAGCAAGAGGAAGAGATTTTCACGCTGAAGCCCTCTCAACCACCCCCAGAGGGTCTGAGATCGGGTAACATGGCTAACTTTCTGCAGTGCAATTTTGGATTGTGTTCAGGAGTTGCAGAGTAAGGATAGACGCTGAAGCCCCTTGTCTCCAGGAGGCTTCTCACTCCTCGCCCCAGAACAGGCGGAAGAGATGTCTGCAGGGGACGCGTGTCAGGAAAGTTTGAAACCTCGCCCCGTTTTGCTGCATCCGATGCCCAGCGCTTGTAAAAAGCGGGCAGAGACGCTGCCTCGGCTTTCTAAGCCTCGCTGTTTCCTGCAAGGTCCTCAGAAGGCTGATGGCATCACCGTGGTCCTCAAGCGGGTCTGGGAACAGGATGTGACCTCCGCTTCTGAAGGGTTGGGGCCCCTGGCATAGAAGGTCCGTGGGAGCAGAATTAAGGCACAGTGTGCAAGGTCCTATATTTGGGCTCCTGAATTTCTGGGAACAGTCACGGGGGAGAGATGTGGTTGTGTGTCCGTTGCTGGAGCAGAAACAAATCGGAATGGATGGAATTCAGCTTTACTGATCCCTCTCATTTAGAATCTCACCCTTCGTGAAGTGTTACCGATTCCCTGAAGATCCCTAATTCCATAGCGGAAAGCAGATCCTTGGTTTGGTTAAGGTCCTCTCTTTGGCTTCTTCTGAGCAAACGTAACCTCTGTGCCAGGTTCTTACAACACAGCTGCCAGAGAATAAACCATGATTGGTGGCTTCTAGCTGCATTGCTTGCCAGAAGGAGCCCCCAGGCAGTTGGGATGCAGTTATGAATATACTGAATGAGAGAGAGGGATCAACTGCTCTCTGGAGTCCCTGGATCTTCCCTTTGGGGCCAGATCTGTGACCTCCTACATCCATCAGGAGTTTGTGATACAAACTGAGGCTTGGAAATGTACTACAAAAATTGCACAGCCTCCGTTCCTCTGCATTCAGTCTCCAGTTCCTACTTTCTTTCCATATACCCCCAAAATGGACTCTCATTCCCCCCTTCCCTTTCGGGTATTTGGGCGAGCCCTAGAATCCTGAGGGTCATCTGTGGCCTCTTCCAAATTTTAAAAGGTGGGAGATCCTGGGGGTTTCGGAAGTGAGAGCTTTGAACTCCTGCGTCCTTTGCTGTCACTGACCCAACTTTTCAAAACTGATCTCTTTCTAGCTGAAATTGGTGGTTAAGAAAGGCAGCCAGGTGGAACCAGTGTACCTGGGTGAGTGAGCCATCGTGGTCTGTGGGAACATCCTGCAAGGAAAGGGGAGAGGCCTTTGAGGAGAACCAAGGCAACTGCGGCCAGTGCTGGGATAGGAGAGCCACGTGGTGGGTTGGCTGGGTTGGTCCTAAGCGGGGTGAATGTTCTGGGTAACAGGGAAAGAGCCACGTTGTGATGGTTGGGCAGACAGTTGCGGTCCTGGTTACCATGTGTGATGCTGGAGGAGGCTGTGGTCCTTGTGAACACAGAGGATCTGTTTTCTCCAAGCCAGCCATTTCCCCAGCTAAGTGCCTGGGACACTTCCAGGAATTTTCTTTGGGCCACAGTAACTTTCAGGTGTCCGTGGCAGGTCTTCTGGACGATGGCTTCAGTCTTAGGGGGCCTGTGCTGAGTAAGGCATTTGGGTGTCTGTAGTGAAATTGAACCCTTTTCCTCCGGGTCTTTGAAATGTGCCCCCCAACCCCACCCCAAGGGCTTCTGGTGCACAGAGACAGAAGAAAACAGAATGATCCTTTGGAACGATCTCAAGCTCTGTCCACAGTTGTAGACATCTTGATGGGTGGACAATCTGTCGTCTTCTGCCTGGAAACCATTTAGCAAAGAAATCGAGTCCACTAGAACATTGTTTCTCGACCTTGGAAACTTTAAGATGTGTGGACTTCAACCAAATTCTGGGAGTTGGATCCACACAAGCTGGCTGGGGAATTCTGAGGGTTGAGATCCACACCTCTTAAAGTTCCTGAGAAACCTTGCAAACTAGATACAGCTCGTACATTTCGTTGGAACGATCCTTCTCATCCTTTGCACATCCAGGTCCTACATTGAAGCATCTGCTCCGTCCTCTGTCCCTGCCTTCCAGACGTGTGGAACTTCACCTCCTGCACTTGTAACCCTTGGCTATGCTAGCTAGAGAGTCTGGGGCAGAGGACAAGCTTCCCATGTTAGGAGATGGCTATCCTGCCGCGCGTTAATCTGTCTTCTTCAAGCTGACCATCCCAACTTCAAGCCTCAGTTGAGGAAAGGTTGAAGATGTTGGACATGTTTAAGCTGGAGGAAAGACCATGAAGAACTTAGGTTCCACCACCTGAAGTCGGGGCAAGGGCACTACCAGCATTGGGCCAGAGCAGTGTTTCTCAGCCTTGGGAACTTTAAGAGGTGTGGACTTCAACTCCCAGAATTCCCCAGCCAGCTATTCCATACCTCTTGAAGTTCCCAAGGCTGAGAAACACTGGCCCAGGGGCAGAAGCCAAAACTCTGGCACTGAATTTCAGCACTTACTAGGTATGTGAACCGGACTTTACTTGCTAATCCTGAACGTTTCGTTTCTGTCCTCCTCCTTCCAGAATTGACACTGCCCCAGTTTTACAGCTTTCTTCACGAGATGGAAAGGATTAAGACAATCTTGGAGAGCCTCAGCTGATTTTCCTGCCAAACAGGCTGCTGCAGGACGTCTCCGTCGGGACCAGGAGGGACCGGCAAGGCCTCTCCCCAGCCTCTCTTCCTTCGGTTGAGAAAATCAGCCCTTTATTTAGTGGGTGAAATACAGTTCAGGGGGGAAATGATGTGTAAAACTTGGCAGGGTCCAGCTTCGTATAGAAGGACAAGATGGGTATTGATTGTGGGGAGAAAAATGGAGTGAAAAATAAAGTTTCTCTTTTCAAACAAGGATGTGGGAGCAGATAGCTTAGCTTTCAACACAGTTGGAGCATGAAAAAGACATTCTGAGGCTGCACCAGACTCCAGAAACTTCTGCTGTGGCTTTTTCTTCCCACAGGAGTCACCTGGAACCCTTCAGGAAGTCCCTAAGCTGGAATGGGAGAACAGTTGCCCTCTTCCACCGGTGTCGTCAAAATTCCCTGGGATCTCCTAGTGGTCTCCCATCCATGTGCTAAGCAGCCCTAACCCTGGGTTAGCTTCAAGCCTTGATCACACCTGTAGGTTTTATTTGCTATTTCTTTATAGCAAAGATGTAAAAGAATGCCCAACTCCAGCTGACTCTGGGCACTTTATGTTTGTATGTTTGTTTATACATCACATTTATATAGCCGCCCACCTAACAAAGTGACTCTGGGCGGCGTGCAACAATTAAAATAACAAGTGAATTTAAAAAAGGCATTCCAAAAAGGTCAAAAGTTGTTATTAGAATAAAAACGTTATCGCAATTTTTTTAAAAAAAAAGATTAAAAGAGGACTTTAAAGTAGACAAACCCCATTATGTTTACATGATATAAAAGCCAGGACAGTAAAAAATAAAAATAAAAAAGCAGATGCATCCAGAAAACCCATAAAAAGCCTTACGAGGGCTGACCCACCCCGTGGGAGCACAGACACGTTTTCTGGTTCTGGAGATGCTGTTCCAGGTACTGCAGTGGAGAAGGCCCTGCGCTCAGCACCTTCTATGATTTGAAAATAGAGGAAAGGCTGCTCAGTTTGCCCCCTGGCACAGTGTTTCTCAACCCTGGCAGCTTTCAGATAGGTGGAGTTCAACTCCCAGAATTCCCCAGCCA